AAAAAAAGAGAAAGAGAGAGAGAGAGAGAGAGAGAGAGAGAGATCTATAGATGAAGGATAAGTCGGGTTATCTTTATTCTGTTTTTGCCAACCACCATTTGTACCCGCAGAAAAAAAAGGGGTTGTGGAATAAAGATTATAGAGTTTTAGCCTTTGGCATTTGCAGCAGCTCACGTGTTTTATTTGACTGAGTGTGAAAGAGTGATAATACTGCGAATGGAAATGGCAAGGATTCAATTAAAGCTGCAATGCAGTATATTTAATGTACAACCCACTTTCTTACACATTATTCATAAACTTTAAACTATTTTTATTTCTGCGGGATCTGGAGAGTTGGTGTCTTTGGATTTTGTTTTTCAGCCTTTAAAAATGTAGTGGTGTTTTTTTTCATTTATCCAGGTTTCCATATTCCATGTAAACTTATAGAAGTTACCTCTTTTTTATTATAGATGGTGAACTGAGTCTGAAAGTTGAGTCCCTTTCCCAGAGCCTGCATACACTTTATAAACTTTATAATCTCAATAGTAAAAGTCTGTCTCTCAGACTCAATAGGTTTTACTTATTTGCCAAGAGTTTGATGAGAAGATTGATACTATGCTTGTGTCTGTAAGGCAAATATAGGGGGATATATACCTGGAGCCAGTAGCCGCTTAGCTTAGCTTAGCATAAAGTCTGGAAACAGCTAGCCTGGTTTTGTCCAAATGTATCTGTACAAAAACTGCAGTGTAAAAACAACAATATGCCGTTTTATGGGGCTAATGTGCTGGACTACACTTTGGTTTTTGTAAGGATGTAACAAACAAAATAAAACATGTTAATCAGTGAGCTTTAGAGGTGCTAGTAGGGAGATGTTATTGAACAGTGCCAGGCTTCCCCATTTCCAGTCTTTATGATAAGCTAACTGCAGGCTCCAGCTACACATTTACTACAATTGATGTAGTATTGCGCTTTATAATTAACTACAATTGTCAAACAAACAACTGCCTGGTGAACAGTATATGCCAGAGTTTCTGGAACTATGATACAAAACACACAGGCAATATAAATCTATTGCAGGTGAATAAAAAGAAACTCAGAACTGAACTCCACAGTTTCCTTCACTCAACAAATCCATTATTTCATTTATTTTGGCAATAACAACTTTGTTTTTTATCCACAATCAGACTGTTTTCCCTGTAAGGTTGAACCAATCGCAATGCAATTATCCACACCACATATTTGAGCCTTTAGATCACGTCTCTGTTACACATAATTTTTGAAATCCAAACTGTTTGTCTGCCATCAGCTTTGTGCTTCCCAACCAAACAGGAAATAAGGCCTGATTTTTACAAAATTGGAGCAACTTAAATGTCATGTTTTGTTTGGAATCAGCTCCTGCACCAGACAAATGTTTCATACCTTAAAACCTGAATCAAGATACTGAAATGAAGAAGAAAAAAATAATATACTTCCCATCTCAAATGTTTATTCGCTTAAAAAACAACATTTCTTTTGTGACGTGATGTCCATCAGGATGACTGACATACATTAATACATCACGCCCATGCATGGAGAATGGATTACTGATGCTAAATGTAATCAAACATTAATCCACATGATTTGAGCTCTGATGCATTAGTCTTTAAACTGTGATTCACGCTGATCCCCCTCACCCTCAATTTGAGGTTTTGCCGGAGCCGCAGCGTCCTCTTTGTGGTTATTTGAATAGTTACACCTTCAGTTTGAATGCTGTTGGACGAGAGGCGTATGCAAAGCGTTTAAAAGGATGACATCAGGTGCTGAGATGAGCTGACCTCAAAACTGAATCAAAGGAGTGGGGGAGGAGACAAGGAGGAAGCAAAAAGAGAGAGAGGGGGAAATGTGGAGGAGGGAGATTTTGTGTGTGTTATATTTGCTGTAGTCATATTGTAGCACTGAAATAGGTCATACAACCAAAAGAGCATTCAAATATGTGCTTCTTCTGGGGAGGTGCTAGTGTGACATGTTTCTGTTTTCATATTGTAAACTTTCCTCTTTTTTTAAAATAATTTACACTCCTACATACATTTGTTGTATAAGCACAGTTTTAAATTGTGCACAGCATCAAAAATCTGTAAGCTTTGTGATGGACGGTCTCAAAAAACGCAAATATTACTCTTTATTTTGCATCATTTTCATTCCAGCAGCATCAGTATATTGAATATAATGATAGGTTTACATTATCTGTGTAAATCGTTGGCTGCATTTGACTTAACAGCTTATATTTTTATATATCACAGAGAGGTATTAAAGGATCATAGTTCAGCTATTGATGCTTCATGCTTTTATGTTATTGTTTGATTCAGCATGTTGCACTCTTATACTGCAGTACCCTCATCACATAATCTGATAATCACTAAAATAACATCTTCAGTAACTGATAATCATGATATGTGTTCATTTCATAGTTGAGTATTTGGGGTGTAAAACCTTTTTTGTAAAGTTTGAGAATGAACTATATGCTCAGTAAGGAGGAATAACCTTTACGGCTTGTTATGTAACCACAGCAGGTCTTGGAGGATTGTACTTTAAATGTAGGAACACACACACACACACAGGTTCTCTGGTATACACTGCTGCCTTTGTGCCCAGCAGACTCCAAATAAAGACCCTACTTATATGTGTCCTTGGATACAGAAAAATCAAGTCAACTTTGCCCTTCGATCAGATGGCGGCAGGAAAGAAGTGGTCGAGATGTGGAGCTGGATATTAAACCAACGCCAAGGAAGGAGGAAATCCTGCTGCCCTCTGCTTCCTGTGACCTCTGTCACACACACAAGATTAACCCTCTCACCTTCCACAATAGGAAGGAGGCGTCAAAACCTCGTCATATCCCGTGGTTTTGGGCAGTCTATCCCATGATTTGGGGTATAAACACATAGAGGAAGATGGACGGGGAACTCCCAGGCATCAGTGGAAAAAAGATCACTTCCGAATCAGCCTCACATTAGGGGGCAAAAATTATTAAATCAGAGTATTTCTGTGGTGAAATTCAGTGTTTGATTTTAGAGTACAGTCATTCCTAGCGGTTCAGCGCTTTGAGCTAGATCAGTGGTCGGCTCCAGAGCTGCATGTGGCCCCTCTTCAGGGGCTCCCTGTGGCTTTGACAAAATTCGTAAGAAAAAAAAAAAAATTTTCATTTATCATTGTTGTTAAAGTGATTCTTACAATGTCCAATTGCAAAAATGTGTTGCCATTACACACCTAATAAAAGAATGTTTGAACATTTCATCAATTTAAACGTGCGTCTTATGTTTCCACTATATTTTGCTGAACCTCAATAGCGGTGGCTTCTAGGCTTGAATCTCCCTAGCTACCACAGATACAAACAAACAAACAAACAAACAAACAAAAAAGTATTATGTAATAGTGCGTTTACCACCAACACTGCTGACTTACCCGTACACTTGAAATTAACATGCTAACAATTTTTTTTATTTTGGGCAATTATAATGTTCATCATGTTCATCATCTTAATTTAGCATGTTAGCATGCTGACATTACACATATAGCTGAGGATGATGGCAATATCATTAGTTTTGCAGGTATCTGACCTGATGATGGCACTATAGAGGGAAAGTCAGAGTTTCTAGGATGCATCACTTGCAAACCATGAATGTTTGTACCAAATTTTGTGCCAATCCGTCAGATGTTGAATTATTTCACAGGATAAGTGAAAACTATTGAGCATGAATGGCAACCCATCCAATAGTTAAAATCGCAGTGTGGACCAAAGTGGGTCGTACTCACCTCCAAATTGAAATGAAATTCACTGCATCACAGCTTCAATGCCTCAAATTAATAACCTCAACAAGGTCCTATAATTTACAAGGTTGTAACCACAATTTCTTCCTTAACTTTAAACATAAGAGTGCTCCTCACTGGCTCCTCAAATCCCTTTTATATTTCCAGAAAAAAGCAGCATCCAGATACATCCGTGGGGTTCATGCTATGGAATGTGATTCCAGTTGATTACATTATGAAGGGGATGGTTTTTGGGGAGGTGGAGGTGGAAAAACAGGGCTTGGTTATATGTGTGTGTGTGTGTGTGTGTAATAGTGGGTGGGGGGTGTCATCATTTTTAAGGAGAGTAGGTGATCACCCTCTGGGCATTGCCGTGGTGACTGGAGCATATGAAGAGCTCTGACTGCTCAATCAGGTCACGTGAAGTCGGTCAGGAGTACCACAGACGTTTCCCATGATGGTCGCCCTAATCTGCCAGACGTGTGTCCCCCTGGGGGTGTGGGTCAGACGGCCCGAATACCCCACGCGTGTTCACTTCAAGCCATGTTATGACTTTGTGGCCTTTGTTGGAGGTGAAAGAGTCCAGTTAAGTCTAATGTGCTCTAAATCGACTGAACCAAATTATCATTTTGTTGATTTCACAGCTTTTAAATTGTGTGTGCTCATATTCCCTCTCATCATGAGGGTATCTGGGCCACAGTGAGAGGTTTCTCTTATGACTCATAAACACATTAGCATGACATTTATGTGGAATAGAGCGTACTGAGTGTGTTTGTGTGCCAGGAAGACAGACTGAGGAATCTAATTGCTTTTAATGGAACTTACTTCGCCTCACAATGAGGACGCTCTGCTTGACCAGGTCCGGCACTGACATAAATGGACAGTAACTCTGTATTTGTCTAAGCATATTCCCAAAGCTATTGCCGACATTATGCATATGACCTATTTTCCACTTGTAGCACAGAGAATATTCAAAGCGGGGCTTGCTCTGTGTGGTAACTACTTTGCATCAATCCACCTTGTATGTAAAACCTCATAACTAGTGGAATTGTAGTGGCAAAGACTCTTCCTGGGCTCCAAACTGGAGGGGCTTCACCCAGATTACTAAAACACTCCCTATTTCCTTGTTTTCTCATTCTCAGTCAGCACCAGATTCAAACTTACCAAGAAATACAATATACACATCTCTTTGTGACATCTCCAGGAATTAAGTTTCCTTTAGAAACACATGGTTAGGTCTTCACAGCCCACACTTCATGCCAGAATGAAGAGAAAACAAACACTGTCTGGATGCATGTATCCAAATATCCAGCCATTCCTGGAGAGCTGATATAGTCACACTTACCCACCACCGTAGGGACGTTTATCCAGGTGTAACTTCACAAGCTCGCTGTAGGTCTCCAGTTTCTCTCCCTCTTGTCATCCAGCAGAAGACTGGATCACGCTGGATCGAAGGGGTTCAGTGGATTGTGTAATCTTTTGGCCCCGCTGATGTGAACTTGAAGAAAATGACTCATTTTAGCCTCTAAAATGTCTGCTCATCCCCTGTTACTATTACTCATTTGGAGGAAGCAAACTTAAGCTGATTAATTTCTGTTTATATCAGCTGGCAATATAACAATCCATTAAAAGTGAACTTGCAAATGTCTGCAGTAGCAGTTATCAGTCAATCTGATTAGACATGGAATATTAGCCAAATGATTTGCTTTTTCTTCCACTTAAAACAAATACATTGTGAAGTTATAGCCTTAACCTCACAACTCTAAGAAATAGTGACAGGAGAATTGTTGGTGTTATGTCTGGAGACCGTCACTTTGTTTAGAACAGAGGATTGAGAATGAAACATTTGTCCAAAAGAGACACCTATGAATAAACAAATGACTGAATACATTAAAACATCTGTTCATGCTTGACCATTGGAGTAATGCACACAGGAAGTGAGACCCCCTCCTTCTTTGCGGAGGCAGGAATGCTATAATTGAAACCATGTGTGTTGTAGAAACAAGCTCTGTAAAGCTCTCTCTCTTTCTGTGTATGAACTTCATCCCACTATTTCCTAGCCTGATGGCTCTACCTGCTTATGTAAGAGTCTCATCTACAAATCCTCATAGTCTGACCTGAAATCAGTCTTTTATATTTAGGATTGGTACCTGCTCAGAGTATATTGATGTGAATGTGCTATTTCTCAGTATTTTGAGCTTTTGTAAGTTAATTTGCTGAATCGTATTTGGACACATGTTCGAGCCAGCTCTTGCACACAATATTCCCCACAAATCTTTCTATCTTTCCTTGAAAATGTGTTGCCTGTGTCCCTGCTCCATAAAGCCCTGCTGACCACAACATGAAAGATGGAGAAAGATACAGTATGAGAAGAAATGTGGAGATGCCACCCTAGTGTCCACCAGCTCCCTGTCTGTATATGATAGCAAATAAATATTCATCTGTGTGTGGAAATGTATTCATAAACATCTGAAAGTATCTGATGTTGATATTTAGTGATGGAGGAAGTATTCAGAGCACTTAAGTACTAATACTACACTTGCTGTTAGTAAAAATGCATTGAAAATGTTTAAATTGTACATAAATATTAGCGGGAAAACATCTATTAAAAGTAAAAGTAGTCAAGGTGGACCACCACCACAACTTCTTTGTATAGGACTCAAGATGGATTAATCTGCTGATTATTTTCTCCATTAATCGATGGAGATCAATTTGTCCAACCAATAGTACAAACCTCAAAATGATTAAACTTAATGAGCTGAGCCTATACTCATATACAATATCATATATACAGTATATATATATATACATTCTTAATAGAGCAACCATAACTCATTTTTCTTTTTACCCAATAAACTCACATCTGAGTGTAGAAAATAAAGATTAAAAATACATTTGAAGCCTAATACACATTTACTGGCACACAATGTCACACACACATCAGAAAGAAATCCAATTATGGCAACAACTGTATAATAATCACCCGTCTAAAATAAAAAAAATTTCTTCTGATCTATTCCAGTACATGTTAATATAAATTCCCATAAAGTCTTGACTAAAATGTAGCCAAATCTCACAGCAACCATGTCGCATAATCAATGAAAGCATGATAACCTCACTATTGCCTGGAGTCACGTGAGCGCTGATCAGTGATGACTGCTGACGCGCAGCACGGGCTGTGTAGCGGAGCTGGGATGGGATTAACAACGAGTGTCAAGCTACCCAGAAATACAACAAACACTACCGGTTGTCGGCTCCAAAATAAAAAACCGCGCTATCTGTCACACCTTTACGTCTTTTATTTTGAAGGCGACGTCACCTGCACTTCCTATTCGGTTCCGGACGCGTGTCGGCCGACTTGACGCAGCGATGTCAACTACTCTCCCGATACTAGTGGAGTGAAGGCGCATTTGGAGGGATAACGATACTCCGCCACTGTGGTGCGAAAAGACATCGCCGCTGCCGCTCCAGAGACACACCGCTCACCGGAACCGGAGGGACCGCCTCGGCCGTGGCTGTGAGGCGTAAATGGCCACAACATTTCCTAAAAGAAGCCGCTGCCCGTGAGACAACCTGTGCACCAAATGCGTCCTGGAAATTAGGACGCGCATTTTGCTTCAAATTAGACCCTTTTTTTTTAATCGTACAAGGGAAGTTTCTGGGACCGATTTTAATTTTTTTTGATTTTGATTTACAGGCTGCAATCATGGACGAGGACAACCAAGGTATGATTCATTCAATGCAATACAGACCGCTTAACTGTGGCTATTTCAGTACTAACAGTCAGGAGACATGTGCCTCTGTAGCCTGATAGTGTCTCTCAATTTAATATAATAATAATAATA